TGGTAAGAAACCTGTTACTAGTGATAATCATTTGGGCAAGCAAATATTATATTATCGAAATCGATAGTCAAGATATATATGTCGATGGGTCCTAAGTATAAGGGCCAAACTAACAATTTGATTATTTTCACTTTTTTTAATTTTATTATAAAATGAAGCATTTCTCACAAAAAAGTGAAAATGATCAAATTGTTAGTTTGGCCCTTATACTTAGGACCCATCGATATGGCACTATACCATTACCTGTTTTTTTACACGACAGACGAAACAAAGGAGCATAATGTTTTCATGGTGAATATATGTAAAGAAATATCGTTTATTGATTCCACTGTAACCTCTGAATGTTTTAACAGATTTCGAATTGTGTAATATTGTTAACATCGATAGTCATTCCGAGTAAGCATGGCATTGGGTATTAAAAAATGTCAAAACACAATTTTGTACTGACAGCAAACAAGAAAATATATATAAATAAAAATAAAATAAATTTTTAGTTTACTTTGTAAGAGCACAGGAACAGCCGTGTTTTTTTTTATTCTATTTTATCATGATGAAGATATATTAATGAAGTACAAATAAAAAAAAATAAAAAAAAATTTGAGCCAGGTGAGGGATAAGGGAAAAACTGCCATGTTTAGTTAAATAATCGTTTAAAGATCAAACGACATTTAATATGCACAAGCTAGATACCTAAAAATACAGGTACTTATTTAATTAATTTAGGCATTGCAACTACATATTAGAGTTTTAAGATAGTTTTATGAAGATTGCATAATATATAAATGTACTCTCAAACAAAAACAATTTTCCTGATCAATAAAAATGAATGATTCTCTATAAGCTCTGCGAAATCATACCTACAATTTTACAATCTATTACATAATAATTAGTGTTTCTTGTGCATAATCTGACGTAGTTGCATTAGGTGGAAGCAAGACGCATAATGATTTGAAACAATTGATGGGGGTCGTCAATTGTTTCACTTCAAAAATACCAGTTTAACTTGAGATATGCTATAATGGGCGAAAATTGAAAAATAACATATTTAATAACAGATGAAATGTGATTCCGTTTGTTTCGTAATGAGATGTTTTGTTGTTTTTCTCACACCACCGACTAGAACAGCACGCTATTGTAGAGATAATATCTTTATTACAATAAATACAGAATATTTTTTGGAATATACGGAGACATACTCTAAGGTCAGTTGTTGGCGCTGTACTATTTCAGTGCAAACGAGAGTTGGTATTTATTTATAAGTGATGTATGACTGATGAGTTACCAGGAATGTATGGCCCTTATTTCGTCTCTAGTTCTGGTTATATACTCGATGGAATTATATAACAGTCCAGAATTTGTTACATTTTTTAAAATTAGAAATTACGATTCTTCGTAATGAATTCTTTCATAGTGTTTATCATTTGTTTGTGTGCATTTTGGCGACAGCAGTTCATTGTAATCGAGGCTTAAGACACTTCCATTGTTTTTTCATCCGTGGGCCACAACATAGGCGTGGAACCTTATCCTACGTCTAAATCCTCCGATGATAGAACTGGTCTTAGTTAACACCATAATACAAAACATTGTGGTAAATTTTCATGTCTCTATCGTATCTCGTACAGTAATGTCGAATGTGAAAATGCCCATAAAACAATGTAGGGTACAAACGCACTCTAATTATTTCGTTGTTTCGAAAATAAATACAATTTTTTTCAATTGTTTGAATGTTATTGTTGCAGTGATTGATTTATTTTTATTCAATTGGTGAGTTGGACAAATGAAATTATTATGTGCAGAGTTACGAGAATGGCGACCGCCTGCTGCGACCATCGGATTGTCCAATAGAGGTGTGGCAGATCGTCACCGAGTGCTGGCGCGGTGACCCACTGCGCCCGCAGGCCATCATGCGAGACATGAACCACATGCTGCACTCCGGTTAGCATTCGCATTTTCTAATCTAGTAAATGACTACTTGTTGTGTGTTCTCAAGTAACGAAAAATATGTTTTCGTCACACTTGCTCGTAAATAGTGTCATGACATGCAGGCAAAGCCAGAAAAATAGTTAATACAATCAAAAACAATAAATATAATTGAACAAGGGTTTCGGACAGTATCAAGTAATAAATATTATATATGTCACGCCTGCAAAAAAAAAAGAAGCAAAATACTAATAGTGTATTAAGGGTCTGCCCTTGATACACAATAATGCATTATTCTGTGACTCGTTTATAGAGATATCGCCACTAACTTTGTAATATTTTGCGTCTGAAGGCGTGACGTATGTAGAATGCGTTCTAACGGTATTTAAGCAAACAGGAGTGCACGTGGAATGCGTAAATGCGTGACCTCCTTCTGTTTGCGGAGTATTTGCCGTAGAATCCTAGAGATCGGCTTGTTTATCTGTATTAAATTGTTGCTTTACTTCAATCACCAAACCCAATGTCAAGAGTGCCGAATATGACATTGTCAAATATCTAATTGTTTTAGATAGTGATGAATTGAAATGAATGAGATTATGTTGTAAAACGCAGTGCTGGTAAATTCTATAAATCTATGCTTCCATTTTATCAGCACGTATTTGGTTACGGTATTTTATAATATTATTGACACAAAGATCGAACATAAAGAACAATTCCTTCGATCTGACTGGACTCGAACCAGTATTTGTTGCCATTCCGGGGCTACTTACTGCTCTTAACCAACTAAAAATCGAATCTGCAGAACTTACAAATTTCGTTAGGTGTTTGATACAAATATTTTTTTTTTTAACATTTGTGAGAAACTTGATGCATCAGTGCATCTGTGAGAAACTTTTGAAGTTCTCACTCAGCCAGGTACATACCGTTGCTGCTACCAGAAGCTGGCACGATCTTTGTATAAAAATAATAGTAACAAATTAGTGGAGTGTTTTGACAATAAATATATGAAAGTCATGGTAGTAATACATCATGATATTCATTGATTTAAACTTTCACGATTTCACACATTATTTGATTTCAAAATCAGGATTTAATAGTGTATAAAACGTATTTTATGTCGATTTTGGAATCAAATAATCATGATACGTATCACGGCTACGTTTCGTCTGTGTTTAGCTACGGTCTTACACTGTGGGGCAATTCAGTAGTCGTAGAAAATGCGTTTAAGGTTCAGAAGAAGTGTATTCGGGCTATCTGCGGTGCGTGGTTCGACAACAGCTGTAAACCGCTGTTCAAAAAACTAAACATATTGCCTTTGCCATGCATGTACATTAGGGATATCTGTGTATTTGTCAAAACTTATCCTCAATATATTAATATCTCAGTATATTATATATGTATATTAATATATATATATATATATATTAATATACGATTATATTTTCAGAATATGTCCCTGATTGCCATGTCTATGAACGGATATCAGCTATCGGCGATTGCTATGACGGCCAATTGACTAGTAAGTACAAATTAAGATACGTTAACATTACAAAGCACATAAACGGAAAATACATCAAGTATTTGCTCAAAATACTATATATGACTATATTTCATTGGAGTTTGTTTTTTTGTTAAATTTCAATCTGGGAACTACAAATGTTAGAAGCCAAAAAGTAAAATCTACGGCATTTTTTATTTTACGTAACATAAATTTCGCAAGGTATTTGACGGTCCAGTGGCTTGTACTCCGGTTTTCACGGAGTCGTCATCTGAGGCCCTGGGTTCGCTTCTTGGTCGAGTCAATGTACAAAGACTAACTTTCCCATATTATCTCGTAACTGGGCGTGTAGTACCACATCGTCATTGTTTCCGATTTCCATTACATAAGTGCTTTAGTCGCTTACTTTACGTATATGACGTCTAATATTTATTTGTATGATAAGTAAGACAAAATATAAAAAAGTGTAAAATTCACGTAATATCTGTGCAATGTGTTGGATTTTTAAAAAAAAATATATTATTCAATTTAAAAAAATCACGTAATATCTGTGCAAAGTGTTAGATCTTTAAAAAAAATATATTATTCAATTTAAAAAAAGTCTAGTTATACAGGGTGACAGGTTGAAAGAAATAACTATTTAAAGAGGCGAATAAGTAGCTGATACATAGGGCGCACTATAAGTTTCCGGAACTGGCCACTTATATAAACAATATTTAAAAAGTAATTACAACATTTGAAAATGGAACTCTTGGACTGTAGAATACAGTGTGTTTCATCTGACTGTCACTTGTTTTTACATTGTGGCGTCATTTTAGAAATTGGTTGTCTATATCACCATGGATTTAACTCGTGAAAATTTTCGTAGTGTGATTTTCTACGATTTTAAGTGTAATTTAACAGCTCAGCGGAGCTTCTCGGCTTCATACTGTTTTCGGCGATGAAGCACCATGCAAGACGACCATTTATAGCTGGTTTGCAGAATTCAAACGCGGTCGTGTGAATCTCTGTGACGAATTTCGTGATGGTCGCTTGTTCACTGCTGTGAACAACAGAAACATCGATGATCAAAACAGACAGGCATGTAACATACCATGAGATTCTGGCATCTTTAGGCATGAGTCAAATACAGTCAATACTACACAAACAAACATTTGGGTGTGAAAAGACTGTGCTCTCGGTGGATCCCACACAATTTGACTGAGGCTCAAAGTCTCGTGCAAAGTACCTCTAAGCGGATGATTGCTTCTTTTTTTAGTAAAACTGTAAACGTGGCTACTGTTGCTGTGGAGATTTCTTGTACCGTGAATAGTGATACACGACCATTTGTTTGCCGTAAGTTATTGACAAACTCCGTAGAAATAACCGTAAATGCCGTATCATCTTGCACCACGATAATGCCAGATCTCACACGGCCAGACAGACAAATGAATTTTTGAAGGTGAACAACGTTGACCTTACGAGCCATCCCATGTACAGTCCCAAATTAGCACCTTGTGACTTTTATTTATTTCCAAAAATTAAGAACCTGTTACGCGGTCAACGATTTTCATCATCTGAAGAGGCTGTCGAAGAGTAGGAAAAATATGTTTCAGAGATTGTCACGGCGAAGTGGCATGTTTTCAAAATTGGTTCATTCGTATGAAAAAGTGCATTAACGTTATCGGAGAATATTTTGAGAAATAATAAATTCATTTATAGTATTTTTTTCTTATTCATTCCGGAAACTTATAGTGCGTCGCACGTACCCACACCAAATAAGCAAAAAAACACTGCTTATTAGTTATAATTTTTATTCTTAATGTTCGATCTTTGTATCAATAATTATAACAAACTAGTGGAGTAATTTCACCAAAAATAATTGAATATCAATTTAATAAAACTTAAACAAACACTGCTTATTTTTAAATATTTTTCTATAAGGAAAATACTGCTTCTAACATTTTGAAATACTCTGCGCGAGATACCGCGTCAATCGAACATCTTGCGAGTGCCCTGCAAGGTCAAATCAAACCCTTGCCGGCCTCTGCGCACGCTTTCGCACCCGTTTCGCTCCATCCTACACATCAATGTTAGAACTCAATTTTGTTTGTCCTAAGCTAGGATCAAAGTATGAATGGAAAATTGAATTATTTTTTCGTAAGTCGTAAGTTAAAATTGTGTTTACTAACAAGTGGGCCTTGGATGCCAAATAACGATTTATTTATTATGATTATTTAATAGTAGTAGTGATAATAGTAGTGGTAGTACTCTTTAAGAAGGATTGACACGCGCTCGTAGCGCGGGAGTTCAGTTTCTTATCGGAGCCGTTTCATAGAGTAGCCCAAATGAAGAGTGTACCAATATTGGAAATGGTACTTTTTTTTTCTTTTCTTTATAATGTATTATGACTAAGAAAGTGAACATTGTATACTTTGCTATTCATATTTGTATGCCAATTGCTGGCTCAATACACTGAACTATAAAAGTAACCTTAAATATGTAAACTGTATTTATCGTGTATGCCTACAAATAAATATCTAGGGTCGGCGGAGTAAAACATATAAGTCGAAAAATGCTTCTTTTTTTTATATATTATATATATGTAATTTTATATTTTTTGTGTTGTTTATAATATTGGAAGATGTGAAGAGAATGATAAATTTGATAAAGACGCCACCAGAATTTAAGTTACAAATTAATGATGTAATAAATGAATTTGACTTGTATATCTTCTTTTGCAGGCACTATAATATCACAAAGCCGCTCAAGTGAGATGAGTGATGTGGGCAGTAACAAGTCGCTCCTATCCACCAGTAGGTCGCCTTCCATGACTATGACTGATATTGATCACTCGGTGAGTCTCAAAAATTCACGGTCACGTTATCAATGATCATTGTGATCAAATTAGAAGCCATAGAAACAATCATGCGATACTTCAACATGTTGTTGGTTTCTACAAAGGTTTTTTTTTCAACAACGGCTTCATTTGAGTTTTCCACAAATAAAAAGCTATGTAAAGTCCAAACTTCGGATCTTTTGAGGTGTATGAAAGTTGACGATTGCAATGTTAACTTATTCAATTATATATTGTATCATTTAACCTTAAGGTGAAATGGTATCGTGGTTGTGTAAGCTTTGAAACGAGTGAGGTAGACGCGGAGAAAGTAATTGTACGACATTTGTCCTTTTCCTACATATTGCATGCGCAAAAGTCATAAAGAAACCCATTAGATCAATTTTAATTGTTCGAGCCACAATCTATTGAAACATTTAGAACAAAGAAACTGTAGAGCCGCTATAGCGACATCATAATGTTAAGCTTATTTTTAAAATGAATTTTATTAAAGATGGATGTTTTTTAGAGGACTTTTGTGATTCAGTGTTTTTGACGATGGGCATTAAGGAGACCTATCAATACTTGTGATTCATTATCAAAGCATCAAAAAAGCTAATTGAGTACAGCCTGTAGAAGCTGGGGTTATAAAGTTGATATAGGTTATGTTTATAACATCGTCCTGTATTTCGCTTCAGATATTAGTTCGTAGTAGCGAAAAACAACAAATTTTCAGTTTGTTCCCAAAAATAATAAAGAACTTCCGGAATATTCCCAAATCTGCCAAACTCTGCCACATTTAATATAATTTATCATTTTCAGCAGCAATGAAAATGAATAAAAATTAAATCTGCCCAAACGGCCGAAATCTGCCACAAATGGTCACATTGTTCCCAATATCAATGTGATATTGACATTGGCAAGAGGTCTCTTGTCAAAACGTTCCTTTGCAACTTTCATTATCTCTCATTTAAATATTGGCTAAATATTTTTGTCACATTGTGTTTTATTTTTTGCTTTATGTCATTACTGTTTAATTGATGATTTCATTAGGTATTTTATAGCTTTAATGTTTTATGTATGTACTATAAAATAACCAGTACTTCAGGTAAATACATTCAATCATGATTAATATGAAACGTACGTACAAGAACTTATGTAGGTTATGTCCATAGGTTATCCTAATCTATGGTCGAACTGAATCAATTGCATTGTTTGTTCTATTCTAAAATACAATATTTTACATTTTTTTTATTCCTGACTTCTAAAAATATATTGATAAATAGGCATAAACTAAAACGCAAAATTATTCTAGCCTAGTCCATGAACGGCTCTTCGTCGTTATTGGGGCAGCTTTCGCCATCCTTCTTACAGTAGAGTAACTTAAAAACATTGTTGTACTCGTTTTACGGCTTGGGGCTACTTGTCAGATGTTTGAAAATATATTGACCCGGAATAACGTTTGCTTGAATTTTTATAATACCGTATGTATTTTTTTAGGTTACTTTTAGTAATATTACCAAACAACCCTACGCTAACTTAATCTTTTTATAAATGATTATGATTTTGTAAAACAGAATGAACATTCCGAAAAGTAGGTAAGAAGTAAAACACAACGGTAAAGGAAACAAATTTATTTTCTTTGTAGTCGTGCGCCTGATTTTCAAATCTTCACGACGCGGATGCTAGTAACACATCTGCCTTTTACGTATATAAGACCATAGGTCAATCGAGTTTTGGGCCAAAGTTTTTTTAAATTTATTTTGGTACAAACGCTCATTACATTATGCAATGCAATTTTTTATTGCATTTACCATAATGTTACATAGGATGGAGAAGGCTTATAGCTAAGTTAACAGCGCATTGTAAACCCTGTAGTGCACTGCAAATTATAGAGACAGCGAGGAGGATTTACTCTTTATTATATGATTTTGAAATTTAGGAATGTTAGCTTTTTCTAAAGTTTACTTAAGTTCATATTTGTACAGTTGTAAATTAAAGAAAGCATATTCTTTTGATTAAGATTGATCAACTCAGAAAATAGAACCGCTATGGTTCTATTTTCAATCAGAAAATAGAATCGCTATGGTTCTATTTTCTGATTGTTTATTGTTTATTTATTCTTTTATTAATTATTATTTATTTAGAAATTATTACAATTTCTAAATAAATAATAATTAATAAAAGATTAGAAGTAAGAAATTAGAAGTATATTCAGTTGACGATAAAACATGGTTTTATCGTCAACTGAATATACTTTTATTTTAATTTATTTGTAACATTTGTATATCGATATAATTTGATCTATGTATTTGTATATTTATTATATACTGTACTTTAGTATTAGGTCAATGTATCGTTGAAACATTCTAGCATGGTGTAATTTTTTTTTCTATTAACTACTCTTAATTTTTTTAATGAATCATTTTCATTGGTTTCTTCCTTGAAAGAATTGGGCAGTTTGTTAAATATTTTCACGGACATTAAAAGGGGGTTTAAATGAGTGTAAAGCCAGTCGCGAGGTAGGTAACATTAATCTATTGTTACGGTGTGATGTGAAGGTATATGAGTATTAATACAGAAAGAAATCAACTATGTTATAAACAACGAGTACCAAATACTATAAGCACACAGCATCATCTGTTTTCATTACCAATTAGAAAATCAAGCTGAATGTGTATTTTTGCCTGTCGAAAAATCGATTTTCCATGTGGTAGAACTATGTCAAAACGTCTATTTTGATTCTCACTTTACCTTAAACTTTTTCTCGACTGCTGTCATTAAAAGTTTATGTTACCTTAACCTTGTACATTTAAGGTTTAATATTGGGTTAGCATTAATTCTATATTGCATGTACTTGTATTTAAGTAATCAATTGAAAATTGTTCTTAAGGGCATTAGACACAAGGTTAGTATTTGGACTGACGCTTTAACAGATTAAGCTTCTCAATTATTATCTTCGCAAGTTTATTTAATAAACTCTAGAAAACAGTAGTACTGCTATAAGACTTTATTGTGTTACTGTGTTGTTATTATACGTTAATTATATTTTTGTGCTATAATAAAGACCTATTTAGTATTATATTTGTAAGATATTGTAAAATTTTCTTTACAATATTTTTGAACGACTTTTGATAGTGCGCTGACAGCGGCAGCTCCATGTCGGAGAACGGCATCCCGCTGGCGTCCATCCCCATGGAGACGACGTCTCCCGACGGTGGCGTGGTGGGTGGCGTGGACGACCCCGACCCTTATTTAGCCACCACTGGCCCTCTACTTATGCAGCGTATAGTCAGTCGCGGAGAGACTTATGCACTTACGCTTACCAAGAAAATAGGCATTGTGAGTATTTTAGCACTTATCTATAGCAAAGGATTTGTATCTGGATGGAATAATTTATTTATAACGACTAACTTTACTATCTTTGTTACAAAATCAAATGCACCTTTGTCGGCGGCTATAATACGATTGGAATAGTAATTTATGGCTGTCGGCATAACATCATATAATATGATTCAACACATAGCCTGTTAATTTTTTTCATGATATCAAGTAATGGGACGAACAATCGTGCGCCTGGTGGTAAGCGACACACCTACCCATAAAAGTTGCAGTGCCACTCGGTGTTTGAAATCACAATGATCTGAGTTCTTAAATAAACAAACTTATGTGCGGTACGCACACAAAAATGTCACTAGTTTTTGCCGTAGTGCGTATATTGATTCAATATAAAATGTTCAATGTATATAAATCATACAATTTTGTCAGTACGTTGTTTATACTTCTCCATGGAACAGCAGCAGGCGGTCTACTACATAGAAAGCACTTGGGAGTCGTACTGCAAAGCCTGTAGTTGGTTTTTTGAGATCCGTATGGTGAAACGGGTATCCCGTACTACAGTATTCTAATATTTCATTTAAGGTACAGGCTGTTACTGACCATGAACAGATTAATTTACTGGTTTGAAACGTACCTTGTTTAAGGGTAACTACGGTCATGTATACAAAGGCTGGATGGAGCCGGACAACCAAGAGAACAGCCGAAGGGAAAGAAGAGAGGTGGCCGTGAAGAAACTCAGCCGGCAAGCTGCCGACCGAGGCTACGCGGACTTCACAAATGAACTCAATATTATGAAGGTAGGCCAACCCTTTAATAGATATTATTAATCTCCTTAATTCCTTAAAAGTTATACTATAGTAAAGTGACATCATAATAAAAGAGTAGGATATCTCAATTTTGTAGTTTAGGCGCTCTTTAGTGTTCACTGAAAATCAGCGTCAGTCTTTATTCGGCTGTTGCATTAGCTGAGTGGATCCTTTTACATACGCCATAGTCGCACACTGACATTGAATAGATTGTTTTCATATTGGATTATGTTTGCTTCATTTTATTGTTTTTCTTGGTTATTTTATTTCTTTCTGTATATTTTTGTGTTGTGGCGTTGTAATAAATGAATTCTATTCTATTCTATTTCTCCTTAAAACACACCAGCCCGTTACACCAAGTACCAAGTTCTCCGTAAAATACGTAAACTATTAATGACTTATTAATTTTGTTCACAGTCTTTAGTACACGAAAACATAGTAGAGATCCTTGGAGACTCGTGTGACGTCAGAGGGTCGGAAGTACTTATCGTAATGGAGTACTTGGAGCAGGGATCACTGAACCATTTCCTACGTCACGAGGGTGACAACCTCACTATTAAGCATTTCCTCATTTACGCTAGGGATATTGCTCGCGTAAGTTTTTATTATGATTTTTTCCATAGCAGATTATTTGCGTATCACGTGTAAGCAACATAATAAAATTAAGACTGGAAAAAACTTTTTAAAATTTTTATTGAATTTAATAAATCATTTTTTTGTGAAATTACTGCATTAGTTTGTTATAATTATTAAGTTATTATAAATAATTTCTCTCGCCTCTCTAAAATCTTTGTATCAGTAATTATAACAAACTAGTGGAGTAATTTCACAAAAAATAATTGAATATCAATTCAATAAACATTTAAATACAGTGAATAGCGACATCTTTAGCCGGGGCTGGTAGCTGTAAAGGTATCTAACTCGGTGACGGAATTATTCCATAGATTTCTCATAGATGGCGCTACGGCTAAAAATTCATTGAAGAACCAAATACAAAGAT